GCCTCCACAGCCTCCCTGGGCAGCCTGTTCCGTGCTCTGGAACAAGCAGCTTCAGAACACGGCTTTTTTTTAAACAGAACACATTTTTTCCTCCCCCTGTGCATTTGAGCTGCTATGAAATTGTAATAGCTAATTCCTTCCAAATTCCAGTTCCAAAATATCTGGAAGTAAGGGACATTAAAGGTGGCATTCACGAGACGACTCCTGACGCCCAGGACCAGGCAACTCCTGGCCCAAACTGCTTAGCGTGGGCTGCTGAACGCCGCCCCTGGAAGTGTCAAAGAATTGGTTGTCTCTTGCCAAGTGCAAGACAGGCATAACTGCTCCTGCCGGGTGGCAAACCGATGGGTAAGCAGCCCCTTCGGGTCCTTGTCAGCCCTTTTATCTGCGACACTGCAGCCCACAGCAGTGGGGCGAACAAGACTGAGGAAGTGCCGCCTCTTTGGTTGTTGAACTACTCATGTAAAACTCAGGTTTTGGCCATATAAGTCCAAAAGGAATCTGTGCGCTCAGAGAGAGCTTTCTGGGCTGGGCCACAGTATTGTGGGACTTAAAAGGGTTTATTAAAAATGCATCTCAGTTAGTATGCAAGTACTTTAATTTAACTTTTTAAATGAATAATCTGCTTTTAACAAAGCTACTTTATTAGCTAGGTTCAAGCTAATCGATGCTTACCAGCCAGTCTGGCTGCCAAAAAGCAGCACTGTACATGGCACAGCTACAATGAAATGCACCTGATATTTTAGAACCACTTGTTACAAAAGCCAATTCACTGAGTACGTTTGTTACTGTAAATTGGGTTTAAGGACTTCATCATGTAACCACCTGGAGCACATAAAAGCTATCCTACGAGAACTTCCTTCTTTACTGGAAGAGGTGTAACTTACCGTGGCAGCTCCTGCTACAATTATATGAGGTTTTGCCACAGAACCCTAAGACACAAAGTAAAAATGTATTAGTTTTGAAATATTCACAAATTTTACTTATTACCATACTGAGCAGGTTAAGACTTGTATCTTAATTAACTGCGACTCAACTTGTCCCTCAGTCAACGGCTACAAAAGAAAGGTTTCTTACAGAGAACAACCACTTGTGACACACCAGAACTTTCACAGAATCTGCAAAAGCCCAAAGTATCGATAAGCACTTGCCATCAAGCTCTCTTTAAAAGCTCTCCAAACACCCTCTCCTAAGGCCAAGCAACCCACAGATCACACCCCTGACGCCTCCTTCTCTCAGTGTCCCTCAGCACTGCCCAACACCTGCTTGAGCTGTTGTAGTGACCAAAGTGACACAGACCCATCGCAAAACCAGAGCAGGCGGCTGCGCCCAGCGGTCTGAAAGCTCTGTCGAGGACAGGGCCCAGACGAGGCCCCCACACAGCAGAGTCCAAGGAACACACAGAGCTGCCACCTCAGTGGCAGTTTTGCCGCGGCACAGCAAGGATTTAGCAGCTCTCCATTTTGTGGTAATCACAGAAAAACAAACGATAACTTCAGCTGTCTTGATGGAAGGTGCTGGGCAAGAACGACCAACAGGGTAGCAAAAGAATCACCAGGGGCCATCGCTAAATAACTCCAGGCTATTTAAAGGTCAACAAAGGAAGGCACAAGAAAAAAATCAGTTGCCAATCTGTAAACATATTACTTGGTATGAGAATTACATACGTAATTTTACACTGAATAACATGACAACCTGTACAATAACTGAAACACGTAAAGTAATTAGTATGCAATTTGAAGGAAATATTGGGAAAAAATAATCGAGGCACTCCTGACTTTCCAAACTGCCTTTGTCCTTCAGTTTGGAACACTCAAATTAACATAAACATAAAATCATAAAACCACAGAATATCTCAAGTTGGAAAGGACCCATAAGGATCAAAAATGTTTGGTGACATAAAAGTGGAGCCATCGCAGAGACAGAGGAAGTGAAACGCCAAATCAGAGTAAAATCCTAATAGGTTGAATCAACCTGCTCCCAGGAAGTCGGGCTTTTCTGGTTTGGGGTTCTTTTGGCTCCAGTGAAGCCACCCCTGGGAGCCCAGGAGATGTCTCTCCCAGAACATACACCAGTAAACATCCCCCTTTCGCTATTCTGCTGTCAAAGGTCAGATCCCTGGTGCATAACTGACTGAATATATGGGGTATGCTGCAGTCCTACTAATTAGAGATGTGTGCATGAAAAAAAAGGGCAGGTAATAGTCCTCAGTCAGTTGTTGTATTTTCTTAAAATAAACAGGTTTTTAAGACAAACCTCAGTCCAAGATTTGATACGTTGCCTCATAGAGCCATTAACTTCTGGATACCACAGGAAATCCTATAAAATAAAGGCAGATTTCCTCTGTAAGCTCAAAGACAAGCAGTAGGCCAATAACAAAAACTCAAAAAACCAAATTAATTGCCACCAATTTAACTGTGAAGGAAAAACACTTGCCCCAAAGTGAGGTTTCCTTTAGAGTTAGCATGAAAAGCCTGACATCTCGCTCTAGCATGGAAAACAGAAAGAAAAGGGAAAAAAACAAACAAACAAACAAACAAACCCCCCACAAACACAACCCTATGCCCCCTTGATAAAAGAAGAAATGTTCATTTGTAGTTTAGGAGTTGGTATTTCACCAAGAAGGTAATTTTGAAGCTTCTGCCAAATGGGATGTCCTTGGGTTTCCAATGCGCTCAGGGATAAAACCAAGCTCACATCGATAAGGTATTTATTAGAACTTGCTTTTTACTCCATTACCCAGTTTTTACCAACAGATTTTCTTTGTTCCAGAACTCAATACCATTGATAGCATGAAATCACAATTTTCAAACAAAAAAAAACCCCTAACAATTTACTTTGCAACTTCATAAATGATCAGCTGTTTAAAGCCAATAGTGCCGTGGCCGTTAAATGTGCTCCCTACCGACGTGTCTCTGGATGGCAGGAGCGGGGCCCACCCCTCATCCAGAAGGGCAGCCTGGGCTTTGGCTACTGCCCTCTGCCTCCCAGGTACGGCCGTGAGCCCCCAGCTCCCAGCGGCTCCTCGGATGCGGAGCTGTCGGACGGACCACAAACACACATGGAAGTGAAATGGCAGGGATTAGGCATGCAGAAACTTCCCAACACAGAATGCAGAGACACTCCCAGCAGACAGGAAATCTCTGTCTTCCACTTGCACAGACCTACAGATTTGGGCAGCTCACTTGAATACTGTCAGCTCACTATTTGGCAGGAATCTGCGAGCGATCCCGCAGCCTCTGCAGTGCCTGAAGGACGGGAGGCTCCGTGTGACGACTAGAAAGGGCAAAATTAAACCCCCCACTTGCTCTAAGTGACTTTCTCTTTTGCTGGTCCAGTATTTCCCACATTTAGATCAGTGGGTCACAGCCATTCTGAATGCGACATTCAGCCGCCACACCAACAGTGCCAACAGCCCCACGGCCCCGACGCAAGGAAGCGGCAGACGAGCCATATATCCTTCACCGCCCAGGCACCTCCCAGAGCCCCAGCCTGCCACCCCGAATCTCGGGGGTCAGACACCTACCAAGGAGTTCTTAAGGAGTTCTGAAGATGCAGTTCTGTGCCAGGCTACACCAACAGAAGTCACGTTGCGTCGGCCCCGCTGCCCTGCCTTGTGCTCCCCCCCGCTCTTTTCCAGCACTCAGATAACCATGCAAAGAGCCACGCCAGACCTGACCAAAAAGGCAAGTTTTTGGCTGAATCGACTCCCAGAACAGCCCACTCCACGGCCGTAGCAGGGCTGGTTACAGCACCAACGCAGGAACAGACTGTGAAGGGCAACCGAGTGGGACAGCACCGGCTTCACCTGCCACGGGCTGACGCCCTGCAGCGTCACCCCGCACCCGACGCCCCAGCGCACACAAACAGGCGCTGAACACCCACCCGCAGACCACCCGGCACACACCCGCTGCTCTGGTTTCCACGGACAGAGCACGAGCTGTCGGCAGGGCGCAAACAACGCCGTGCCTGGCAGAGCCCCGGCGCGGCCGGCGGCTGTCACGGGGAGCAGAGCAAGCTATCGAGGGCACCCGTGCCATCGCCAGGGCAGAGAACAGAGTCCTTCACAAAACCTTCCCTCCAGTGCTTGCTTTGTTTTCTTTTTTCAACCATCCCCATTATAATCCACCCTGTGGTTACTTCTCCACGCACGCAGTGGAAGGAATACCGTGGGGGTAGCACAGAGAGCTCGCTGGCAATTACAGCTACCACCGCTCCAAGCCAGTCAGCCCCAGATACATCTTCTCACAGCAGTGGAAGAGTAAACTTCCCCGGAAAAGCTATTCTTGCAAAGGCCAAATTATAAGATCTGACGCAAAGAAAAACTACACACGCTTCCGCAGCTCATGCCCAAGGCTAACACAGAACACAAGTACTCAAAGACAAAGTCTCTCAAAGCATCTTAATCAAAATAGAACACGTTAAGATACGCCCTGATATATTTTGTGGAAAAATTATAATGAATGTTGATGGTCTAAAGCTTCTTTTGACTTTTACAGCACTTGGGGAAATCTGAAAAATCCAGCTCTGACTGCAATTCGGATTACCTTGTCTGAAATAATCACATGCTTGTGGCTTGTGATTTAATGCTAAAGTAAAACTTACCACTTTAATTGAAGCAGATTTATCTTCAAACAGGATATTTCCATGCTGTCAAAAAAACCAAAACAATAAAACCAGAGTAAGATTAACTTTCAGAATGAAAAAAAAATACTTACACTCGTACATTCATTTGCTCTCACCCAAAGGTTTATCTTCACTAGAAAGGACTTTTCCTGTATAAACTGGCCAATATACTTGTGCAGAACATTTGTGTTACTTTCTTGATAGAACAAGCTACTCACATAAAGGGTTATTTTTCCTGGGAGAAATCTATCCCACAAAGTCTGAAATGCTTTCTGTTCACTCTGCTACAAAGGTATAAAAGATTTTCCTAAAGAAGAAAAACTTTTACTTTTTCCTCTTCCTTTCCTTACACTCCCTTTCCCCAGCCTTGCTTTTCTTCTGCCCATCCTCTTTCCACAAAACCACCAACAGTTTAAATTAAAGAAAAAAAGGAAACAATCTCAGGCAGAGATGAAGTCTGGAACGCATTATTAAATTTGCTGAGTGAGACTGTAAGAAGTCAGAAAGGAAGCAGTCGGATGCTGCATACACAATCCTCCTTTAAAATATGACTAAATACAGTATTAGCTTCAATCCTGGCCCAAAAGAACAAGTGCATTTCCCTTCCACAAACTGAGATCTTGATTTCCTAAATCCTTGCCAGAAGACACCTCTGGCTCACAACAAATTACAGCACCCTGTCGTCTCACCATCATTTGGGGCAGCAGCTGTGACCCAGCCAACAGCCTGGGAAAACCAGAGTTACTCGATCCATCAAACATCTCGTTTTGACAAGCGAAAGCGACTGCAAGCTGTCTGCTGGGAAAGCCACCAGCCTGCACCTCCGAGCGGCAGAATTTCTAAATAACTGACAAAAGCTGAGGGGGAAAGGTGTCCCTCCCCTCACCCGCGCACACGGCCCCACGAAGCGACGCGCCTGAGCAGCACGACACAGCGAAAGAAACGCAGGTCCCGTTCACCCAGCGCCACAGCCAAACCCTGCCCTTCTGCCGCCGCCCAGCACGCTGCCGCTCACGTTTTTCACCCGACAAAACGCAGGCAGTGCTGCAGCAGCAACCAGATGGAAGGTAAGATCAGAAGCTATTTTCAGTTTTGGCTTCCAGTTAGACCTGGAAATCTGTCATTGCCCCGAGGACTTTTATGAACAGATTAGATCAGCAATTTAACTGACATTTAAAATGACAAATTAACAGCCATGAATTACTGCTACTTAAAAACACACAAAGGAGCAACCATCTTCTCATCAGGAAACCCAACAGGAAGCACAGGTTGCTATGGGACAAGTCAGCTTCATGAATCTATTCCCAGGCTGCCGCATGCTTTCTCTCGAGCTTCCTAGTTCACATCTCAGATCCCCCATCATCTCACCCGCACCCAAACAACTCTCTCGGTCTAATCTTGCTCTTCTCCAAAAGACCTTCCTGTGGTTCTTCTTCCTGATGGCTAGGCCAGCAAATGGTGTTATTTCTTGCTTTTCTGAAATCTAGAGAGGAGTTATGAGGTAAATTAAGAAGAAACAAAAGCATCATCAAACTATCTCACCTTATTCCCTTCTTCTTTGACTTGAGGACTTATGAGTTTTATGAAGGAATAGAACAGCTGTCGAATTCTAGAATCTCCTATAAACGCAATATGTTTGTCTATGAGGCAATTTTTTGCTTCGCTGTAAAACAAAAACAGCAACATTTATGTTACAGGAAATTTGTATTTTAGGAAAACGTCTTTAGAAAATCTACAGAGCAATACAGACGACTCTAAGCATTATATCCGGCCCTAAAGAACGGTAAATCTTTGTTTAAACACGCTGAATTAATAAAAAGTTCAGTGTAATTGCACAGAAATGAAAATGAACTGTCCTACTACTGCGATTCGGCAACCAACCAAGCTGGCTTTGCTATTCCGTGGCGATACAAATACAGCAGCTTCACCATGGCGCTATACAGCGTAATTCTAAAAAATAACGTTCCCTTACAGTAGGTGAACAAAAGCGACTGGTAATTCCATCTGGGACTTTTTCACTGGCGATTCCACACCTAAGGTCAGCATGTTCCCTCTCAGCAACCCGAGAGCGACGCAGGAAGCTGTGCGGTCTCCTGCAGTGCCTTGTGGCCCTCCCTAACACCTACCAGTCCTTCTACCCCCCACATTTATTTCTATTTTTATATATAAACACAACCAGGGTAAACTCTGCAATAATGCACATGGAAAAGCCTTCCTTCTGATAAATGCTGTGTATTTTTGAAAGCCTAGAGAATGGGCTGTGCAGTGAAAACCAGATGACACTGCAGTTACTACAGCTGCAGTCGAACAGCGACTCTTCTTTCCAGGCAGAGGAACAGAAGACATGAGTTTTCTCACCTATTTTTGTACTTGTGCATCATACAACTGTGGGGTTGCCATACTTTTTCTCCAAGAAATCTCCCACTGGACAGAAGATACTCGCATGTATCACCACCTTTAAAATATTATATTAAGATTAGAATTCAGACACATGAAAGTTAAAATGTAGCCCCATTGCTACTAAAAAAAAATAATTTGACAATACTGAAACACAAGAATTGAAACAAATGGTAAATATTTACTTATTGTAAAAACAACTCGCACAAGGCTCTGCAAATCGCCTTCTCACTTCTCATACCACACTCCTCTGTGAATCCCTCCTCTACCCCCAAAACATTCGCGATCCCATTTCTGCTGACTGAAAGATGTTGTCAGCTAGAACGGCGATCCCACCAAAAATGCCAATCCACTGTGCCACCTGCTATCCTGCTCCGTCAGGGACTTCCCAAGCTGGACGTGGTTCCCCCATATTCTGCAGAACCTTCCGCAGATCTCTGTCGGACAGTCACGCAGCCTACTCTTCAACTGTTCAGCCTCCACAGCATCGTTCTGCAAGAGCTTTCCATCCCCACAGCTGCTGCTCGAAGAATCACCTGCCTTTATTTCACACACGGTTTCTGCTAGATTCACCTGGCTCTCCCCACTTCTCCCACAGGAAGAGACAGTTCGTGCTCACGTCCATCATGATTCACAGAGCACTATCAATCCTTCCTCAATCAAGTTTCAAGACTGAAGAATCTTAGTTTACTAGTTCTAAATTTTTACTGAATTTACTAAATATGATTGTCTTCCTGAACATAGATTTGACTTTCCACAACCCCAGCATTTTTTTCATACAAGTCACGTTTATACAGGCAAGCTTTAGTGGAAGGTGCACGGGGCTGCTCCTATCTATAATCCGTATTCGCATGACTGAGGCCAAGATCAGCTGAAATGTAAAGACAATCAGACAAAACAAAGGAGTTCTAACTAAAATCTCCATCATCCAAAAGCTCCCAGAGGAAGCCAAGACCAAAACAGCCCCTTTATAAAACACAATGCATATTCTCAACTTTAACTGGAGCCATGTGAACTTGTCAATACTGCAAGGGGAGGAGAGAAGGAGATGGGGCCACCTGCAAACACGGAGCGGGAGAAGCGAGGCTAACCACCGAACAGCTAACGCATCCAACTGCCGCTCGCTTGAAAGCCCAAAAGTACACACTGAAAACACAGAGTATCTATAAATTAATGCTTCCACTCCTACCCAGGGACAGCGAGAAAAAAGAAAAGGTACGAAAGAAGCAGCCTTTGGGTGCCCTTGTCGCTTCTACAGTGGCTTCCTCAAAAAAAAAAAAAGAAAAGTTTTAAAAATAACTACTCTCTCTCAAGGAGCCTTTGCACAGCCATGCTTGTCCCACAGAAAGGATTCACTTCTTCACACGAACCATTCTCTGGTTATGTACATTTTCGGTGGCCGTTTCCTCCCGGCTGAATTGGCCGAAGGAAAAACTACGGCAGGACAGGCTGGAGGTCTCACCGCCGTCCGTGTGCTCCTGCGGCGAAAGTCTAATTTTGTGAATAACAAAGGACATGAAATAACTATTTTGACTTAACACATAATTTTTCTTCAGAGACAGCTGTGGTCTTTGCCAGCTGTTACAGGCCCTACAGCGCACCAGGATCTCGTACGTATGCTCAGGCAGGTCTGACTCCACGAATGATATGCCTGATTGCAATCTCATTTTCTCCACTATTCAGGCAGCTGCTGTTCAACTAATGCAAACTTTAGATTATCAGTTTCTTCAGATAGTAAAGATCCCACGTGGGCGGGACCTGCACCTCCCACAAAACAGAAGTCGCCACTCTTTGTTCATATGCAGCTCTTCATCTCCTCCGCACTCCCGGACAGCCCTCAAAGGGCGACAGCATCCCCATGGAGGGTAACTCACGGTCAAACTTCTGCCCCGCTGCAGCAGAACCCACGCTCCCGGGAAAGAGCAGGTCCAGCCTGCGCTCCTCCTCCTGACAGCAGCCAAGGACAGACGCTGGAAGCACAAAAGCACGACAAACAGAGCGATCCCTTCCCTGGCACGGCCGGCTCGCGCAGCCCAGCAGCTCCGAGCCAGCAGGGCAGCGTGCTTGCAGCCCCACCGCAGCAACCCTCTGCAAACCAGGACATCCCTTTCCAGGGGATTTTTGGAAGAAAATCTTGGCAACGTGTTTCAAAATGTCTCGTGTGGGAAAAAAAAGTGCTTTCTTCTGACTGTTTTAAATGGACTGCCTGCTAATTTCATTTTTCAGTTGACACTTGCTGTGTTAGGAGACAATCAGCATGAATTTACCTTCCCCCAGTAACTCCTAATATTTGAGACCATTACCAAGTGACTAATTTTCTGTCCAGGCTACAGAATTTCAATGTTTCGCTACTCCTTGTACAGAAGCTGGTTTATTCTTCTGCCATTTGCGTTGCTCTCCCGCACACGTTTTCCAAGCTCTCCTGCAGCTCTCCTAAGAGCGGTCACCAACACCACTGACAATTAGCACGGTGCCAGCCAGCTTTAGCCCTGCAAATACCACGAGGAAATCTTCTGGGTTTTCACGAATTGCCAAAAATACCTTGACACTTGCTGAATTTCAGGTGCTTGAGATCACTGAAGGGTTGCAGGATGATCTCTCAAGCACCTCTGCTTTTATCCCTCCTGAAAACCTCTGTCTGCTCTAAGTGCTCCACCCTCCTTCCCGAAACCCTTTGTGCCTTTTGAACGTAACCTGTTCAGAGGATCCCAAAGTGGTAGCTCTGTACTCACTCCACCTCCCATCTGTCAAACGCTTACGGGAAAGCCTCTCTCTGACCCCGTAACAGCTTCGGGGAAACTGAAAGCCTCAGGCGAAAGAACTTGTTAAAAGCTTTGTGACAATCCAACAGCCCGCACCTAAAGGCCTGCAGATCCTCATCCTTTTGCAAATTGTGACTCACCCCCCTCATTAACTCTCCCATAATAAATTGTATTTACACATACTCCACCTTCCTTGTGATCTGCTTGATAGGGCAGGCCCTGTTTCCTTAAGCCAGTCTTGCAATCCCTCTTTACAAAAGCATCCCACTGGCCACCCTCCTTCCGTCTCGTTTTGTGACCAACGGTGCCTTAAGGAGCACAGCACAACAGGGGAGCTCCACGGCTTCATGCCTGAGCTCCTCTAGAATTCAGCCAACGCTCACTTGTCTCGCAGCTCAGCACGAGTCAGTTTATCAGACTCACCGACGTGCCAGCCAGAGGGTGAATCCCGGGAACCGTATCCATGAAGATCCCAGCCCCCTTCCCCACTGCCACAGCTCAGCCCTGCCTTCCCCAGACGCCGGCAGCGGGTGTCAGAACACGACGACACCTCTTGTCCGACAATCAGCAGAGCCACGATGCTCTCTCTTGGGATCAACTTTTTGATGTACCCACAAAAACATACTACATTTTTTAGCGTGAACTGGAAACAAGAGAACGCTTCCCTTAGCAGTCCTGATAGCACTTACGGATCACGCCAAGATTCACAGCTTCAGGACCGAGACAACCCGAAAGAAACCGGCCAATCTCCCAGTTACCGGTGGACACCCCCATGCAGCCCCGTCACGTTCACCAGTGACCATCTCCACATCTCAGCTCCCGGCTTGTCCCCAGCCGCGAACGACACGTGAAACCGAACAACTCTTTATTTTGCTTCACCCACCGAAGAGGCTGGACTTTATATTCGAGGCAACGATTTGAACAGTAAAAGCACACATAGCAAGCCTTACACCAATTAAGCTTTTCATCACTAATTGCCAGGTGAAGGTTGTTAATTGTCCCGCAAGGGAACAAGGAACGGGGAAGAAGCCACCCTGTGCCCCTGCAGCCGCCCGGCGGCCACACGCC